GGGGCATCCACAACTTCTCTGGGAAACCTGTTCCAGTGCCTCACCACCCTCTCCGGGAAGAACTTCTTTCTCATATCTAATCTGAATCTCACCTCTTTCTGTTTAAACCCATTACCCCTTGTCCTGTCACTACAGGCCCTTGTAAAAAGTCGCCCCCCAGCATCCTTGTAGGCCCCCGGAGCCTTCTCTTCTCCAGGCTGAACAAGCCCAACTCTCTCAGCCTGTCCCCATAGCAGAGATGCTTCAGCCCTCAGAGCATCTTCGTGGCCTCCTCTGGACTCGCTCCAAGTGGTCAATATCCTTCTGATGTTGAGGGGTCCACAGCTGGACACAGCACTCCAGGTGGGGTCTCACCAGAGCAGAGTACAGGGGGAGAATCTCCTCCCTCGACCTGCTGGCCACACTTCTCTGGATACAGCCCAGGATACGGTTGGCTTTCAAAGAACTAAAGCTGCTACCATGCCACTGATTCTGCTGAACATTTTAAGAGATAGTATTAAAATAACTATGCTGTGATAAGCATTATAACCATACTGAACAGGCTTTGTTCAGCAGAGACTTTATTCCCTACTTTCATCTCTTATGGAAATTCAGCAAATGGTTGACACGAGTTCCACTGAATGGTCTAAGACTGCATGTGCTCTTTTTCAATTTTTAAAGGTCAAAAAAACGCCAAAACAAAACCAACACACCAAACAAAAACACATACAAGATTTAACTAATTGTGGAACAACAGAGCACTGACACAGACAAACTGGAAACCAGATGTACGTACAGACTGGCATTAATGGAGAACTTTGACCTCCAGGCAGCGCAAGCTTCCCGTAACACTGCACAAATTACCTCTATCGCTGCTGGTAAGTGGGTAACAGTCCTTCTTCTGCTCCTTTCTATTTCCCAGTTACATGAAATCCATTAAATGGTGGCTGGTAGTACACTGCTAGCATAAACACCTAGACATGTGTATGGACATCATATACAGAAAGCAAAACATGCAGCATTGTCCCTCAATTTAGATGGAAACACTCAGAAAACAGGAAGAAATTGAACCTGAGCTACAAAACGTGGCACAGTGAGCCCTGCAGACATTTACCTTGAGGAGAGATTTTTACAGCACTTTTACAAAAATTCAAATCCAAAAATGAAATTCTACTTACTGCAAGTTGTTTGGGAAGACTTTCAGCAATACGACTGAGTAACGTCTTTGAAGGCTTCTCAGCACATAACAGAACCAGATTGACGTTTCGGTCTCCACGGAGTAGCAAACCTTTAGCCAAAACGCCTACACGTAAAACTCCTTTCAAAGCTCTGTGAATTATAGTTAAAAGTTGCATTTAAAATAATGCAAAAACCTTAAAACTAATCCTGAAGCCAGAAACCTGAAATAAAATAGGAGTATTCCACATACTTATGAGGCCACAGTGACATATACTGTATCAAAATCCGAGGAGAAGAGAATCTCTGGAACCACTGATAACAGTGTAAGAAAAAACATCAGAAACAAATGATGATATTCTTAGAAGGTAATAAAAAAAATACCTGTCTTTACTGCCATCTTTTTTGTCATCTCCCTCTTTATTCTTGCTTTTTTCATGATCAGTCATGTTGTCAGAAACCAGTTTCAAAGCACGTTCAGTAATAGAAACAATTTTTTGGACTGCCTGAAGTTCCTCCTCTGTGGGATATATAGCGGCATGTTTGGTCATCACATAGCGGTCATCAGAGGAGTCAGGGCGGCGCAGAGGCTAAACGTACGAAAAAGCAGTTTTCTGAAATTTGTGTACTCTTCCAAGTTCAGAAATGGTAACAGAATATTCAAACCTCAAATTCCTGAACTGTAAAAACATGAAATGTCCTTAACAACTTAACATTGGTCACACTCAATCATGTCTGAAAAATTATGAAATGTATCAAAAATAAACAAATTAGGAAATCCCAGGATCCAAAGTATGTCTCCAACATAAATATATGTACTGTCTTCCTGTCAAGCAGGAAATAGTTGCATATTGCTGCAAAATAAAGTATCCATGTTTGCTTCCATAGAATCACAGGAGAATTCAAATAGGAAGGGACCTCAAGAGGTCCTTTAGTCCAACCTCCTGTGCAAACCATGGTCAGATATGAAACCACATCATGTTGCTCAGGGCTTTATCCAATTGGATCTTTAAAACTGCCAAAGATGAAGGCTGCATAACATCTGTGTGAAAAAAAAAATACTTCCTGTATTCAATCTGAACCTTTTTTGTATCAGCTTAAGCTGGTTGTATCTTGCCCTCTTGTGACAGTAAAGAGCCTGGCTCCATTGTCTTTATAATGCGCAGGAATTAGAAGGCTATTACATCCCACTGCAGGTCTCTTCTTCAGTCTGAACAAGCCCACCTCCCTCAGTCTCTCCTCACAGGGCCTGTTCCACATCCCTAGCCCTCCTGGCAGCCCCGCACAGAACCATCTATGGTTTACATTATCTTTCTTGTAACAAATGTAGTACTGCATTTTGGGTCTAATGAAAGCCGATCCCTTCCCTCCATTTACCAATTATGATCCTGTTAATATGACTCAGGATGCTCTGGGCCTTCACTGCTGCCAGGGCACACTGCTGACTCATGTTCAGCTTGCTAACTCCTAAGATTCCCAGATCCCTTTCAGCAGGCTCAGCCTGATGACAGACTCAGCCTGTCACTCCCCAGTCTGCATCAGTGCAAGGGGTTATTCCTTCCCAAGTGCAGCATTAGGCATTCGTCTTCACAGAATTCCATAAAGTTCCTACTGGTTCATTCCTCTGGACTGCAGCCCTGCACTCAAAGGTGTCAACTATTGTCCCCACTCCAAACTGATCGGAGTTTGATGCCAGTGGCAAACTATGAGTGTGCACTCACTCCATCACCTGTTCACATCATTGAAAAGGTGCTAATGAGACGAATCCCAGGAGAAACCCATGTGGTACTGCACTTGTTAATGACCTCCAGTGACCATTAGCAACACAGACCCACCACTATTATCCTCTGTTACTGACAATCTGACCACTTTTTATCCATACATTTGTCCACAATTATTGTGTAAGTTGTATAATGCAATTAAATAACATAAAAAGTAGCACACAAATTCAGTAGAAACAATATTTGCCTTTAAGGCATCCTTTTGTCATTTCAGTGGACTTATTTTGGGACACAGGTCCACCTACACAGTTTCATCAGCATGTAATTCCTTCTTCTCCTTTCCATATCCTTTATTAAGAAACACTGGAGACAACTCAAGCAGCACTGAATAATTTGTAGTTCTTAACTGTGCCTCCTGGTAAGTATGATTTCTTTGTTTTTTACCCTACTCACAGTTGGTCCGTGGGGCTGAGTAGGAATTCCTGGTCTAACTCCCAGCAGGCCTAGAGGTCCTGGAGGACCATGAGGATATCCTCCATCTGGTATTCTGCGACGGTCATCCCAGTGATGTTGCTCTTCCTCCATTCTCCTCCAGTACATGTCCTCTTCATATCGCCTGAAGTGAATCAATCGAAATGTTCTCTTCATATAGCAGTTAATACTTGCGACCATGCTAAATAAATTCTTGCATACTTGCATTTCTAGTAGCCATAAGCTAGTGAATTCCAGAGGGTAAATAAAACAAATGGTTATTTTGAAAGTGGGTCTGAATTCATAGACGAATAGTTCTAATGAGTCTGCATTCCTCAGAGGGACTGAACACTAAAACCAAAAACCACAGGGGGATAATGACAACCTCCTTTAAAACAAGACAGTATGGAGTTCCCTAAAGAAGTATTCAAAATAAGTAACTACAGAAGCAGTTAGTTCTAGAAAATCTGACTGCAGCTTTGTCTCATTCACTGATAACACACAACACATTACCTCATTTCCATCCTCCAGCGCTCTTCCTCTTCTCGTCTTCTCCAGTATTCTTCTTTCTGCATCTGTTTCCTCATCTTCTCTTCCTGAATTTTTCTTGCTCGAATACTGG